ATGGCCAGGTGATTAGCTCTTCTCAAGTTTTGATTTTTATCAGTTTCCACAAACACCTCCTTCCACAGGTCAACAGCAGTCCTCAAAGGATGGATCACAGAGCCTGAGGGAGCCCCTAGACTCTTTCAGGGTTCTACAGGTCAGAACTGTTATGTACCAGAAATAAGAGGGCATTTGCCTTTTCCACTGTGCTGCCCTTTCCTCTGATGGTGCAAGAAAAGCAGGGATGAGTGAAGCCACTGCCCCCCTGGCCAACTCAAGACGCTGGCTGCCTAGATTCTTCCACAGGAGGTATACTGGCTGGCAACACACTGAAAGAATGCCAAGTTTACCTCATAGTTTAGCTATATATTTTTTTCAAAAAGTTTTAAATAGTCTATGTGACAAAACAAGAGGCAGGATCTGAGAGTGCAGTTCTTGGATAGCACTTGCCCAGCAAGATGGATGGTCTAGTTTCAAGTGCAGTCAGCACCTGGGTGAGGCAGCGAAAAAGAGCACTTAGATACACGTGTGGGCGTGGTGGTACAAGTCTGTAATCCTAGCACTAGGAGTTTAAGGCTATTCTCAACCACAGGATGAGCTCCAGGCCAGCTTGAGCTACATGAGACAAAAGAAACCAAACACAACACAATACCACTTAAGCTGCATACAGAGGACCATCTCTAAGCAAAACAATTGTGTGACTGAACTGCCAGATTTTTCTGTAGAATACCATGTTTACTTGAAAGAATGAATGACATAAGCAACAAAGTCCTTCAGACGTTGGTGTTTGGCACACTTCTGGAAAACAAAACAAAAGCCTGTCAATTCAAGTAAAACAGCTGATAGTAATTGTTGCCAATGAGAAAATCTGAGCTTCCAAGAGAAAAATCAGAATTTTTGCAAACCTATATTGGCCACTTGAAGCATGACTGCTTTTCTGGAAATTGTGATGCTAATACAAATGCCTTTTTATTTTACTTTATATAATTTTTTGTTTGTTTTTGTTTTTTGAGACAGGGTTTCTCTGTGACTTTGGAGGCTGTCCTGGAACTAGCTCTTGTAGACCAGGCTGGTCTCCAACTCACAGAGATCCACCTGCCTCTGCCTCCCAAGTGCTGGGATTAAAGGCTTGCGCCGCCATCGCCTGGCTAACTTTTAACATTTTTAAAAATCTATTTGAGTATGTGTGCACATGAGTATCACAGTATAACGTGGAGGCCAAAGATCAACTTTCATGATTCTTTTCTTCTTCCATTATGTGGGTTCCAAGGATTGAACCCAGGTCATCAGACTTGGTAGCGCCTTTTGCTGATGAGCCATCTCAATGGCCCACTTTTGGTGTCTTCAGACAAGGTCTTGCTATGTAGTACAAGTTGGTCTCAAATTTATATCCTCTTGCTCAACAGAAATTTCAGGGCCCAATAGAAATTAGCAGATCTCACAGAAAAGGTGAAAAGTTCAGGGTGTTGGAGATAAAAACAAAACATCTTTCTCTGTACTTCACGGGCAGATCAGAGCATCTGATCCCAAACTAAAATCCAGGGAGCTTATAATCAGACTATTCTAAGGTCATAGAGTCTGGTGGAGAAATCATACCCAACTCCAGATCCTAAGTATGGAACACATCCTGCAGCACAGTCGCTTTCCCGATAGCAATGCTTTCCATCTGTATATATCCATGGTTTTCCTTGGTTGCGCACACTTGCTTCCTCTCCCATGCTCACCTTGCTTGGCACACAGTAAACACAGTAGGGACACTGAAATCTTCATTGCCGCTCTCCCAAGAAACCCTCTTTAATTCCCCAACTACAGTCACCGCCTACACTCCTGAAGAGCTCCCGGCTACAAAATGGCTTCTGGGCACTTCTTCCTGGATGTGTTGTGAACAAATCTCCGAATGTAACTCTAATCTTGCCCTTCACAGCTGTGGCTCTTACTAGTTCTTAACAGTTCTCTGGCCCATGCGGTCACTAAGGTTGGAAACCTTGATCATTCCACTATAATCCTTGCCCAACTTTCTGCATCATTCTGCCACTAGATCGTCCATTCTGCCAGATTTAGCATCTTTCTAAACTGCATTCCCACAGCACAACCATAAGATCTTCCCTATCTCGGGACTGCTTTCTCACTGGCCATGAGACCGGGAGCCAGACAGACTCCTTGATAAGCAGAAAGACGGCCAGTTTCTAAGATGGCCAGCTTCTTCAACCTTCAGCCTTGAGCAGAAAAAAAAATCTTTTTGTGGTGCTTGAGATTCCTCTGCTGCTACCTGTTTCACTTCAGATTTTTCCTGCATTTTAATTCTTTAACTGGGAGAGAAAATGAAGCAATCAAGATCCCTAAACTGTATCATTTTTAGGCTGTATCACTTTGCTCTCATCTGAAATCCTCAATCTACCCACCAGCCCTTCTGTACTCTTAGAATAACAAACCTAATGTTATTCTCCTGCTTTTTTATTTTTACATGAAACATACTTACAATTTTACTCGTTCCTTCCCATAAGCATTTTTTAAATTGTGTATTCCAAGCCAGACCCAGTAACTCACACCCATAATTACAACACCATAGAGTTCAAAATCACCCTGAACTACATATACAGTGAGTTCAAGGCCAGTTTGAGCTACTTAGAAAGAAAAAAAAAAAATCACAGTCAGGTGGTGGTGGTACATGCCTTTAATCTTAGCACCTTAGAGGCAGAGGCAGGTGGATCTACTGAGTTCAAGGCTAGCCTGGTCTACAGAACAAGCTCCAAGATAGCCTGGGCTACACAGAGAAACCCTCTCTTGAAAACAAAAAACAAAAAACAAAAAACAGATGGGGGAGGGGAGGGAGGAGAAAGAAGAGGAGGGAGGGGAACATGAGGGATCAGGAAGATTGAGTAGGGAGATGAAAAGAGGAGAGCAAGAAAAGAGACAAATCAATAGAGGAGTCACTATAGGTTTAAAGAGAAATCTGGCACTAGGGATTTGTACAGAGATCCACAAGGATGAGCCCAACTAGGAACCTAAGCAATAGTGAAGAGGTTACTACCTTAAACACCATCCTAGAGCCTTCATTCGGTAGCTGATGGAAGCAGAAGCAGAGATCCACAGCTAAGCACTGAGCCAAACTGGGATCCAGTTTCAGAGGGAGGAGTGACTAACAAAGGGGCCAAGACCATGCTGAGAAAACCCACAGAAACACCTGACCTGAGCAAGTAGGAACTCAATGACCCCAGTCTGACAGCTGGGGAACCAACATAGAACCAAACCAGGCCCCCTGAACGTGGGTGTCAGCTAGGAGCACTGGGAAGTCTATGCACAAACAGACATCAGGAGCCCATTCCCCATGGAGGGATACTCTCTTAGCCTAGACACACAGGGGAGGACCTAGGCACTGCCCCAAATGACTTCGCAGATTTTGATGATCCCTCATACAAGGCCCTACCCTCCCTGGGGAGTGAATGTGGAATGGGAAGGAGAGGGAACTGGGATTGATATGTAAAATAAGATTGTTTCTAATTTAAATAAAATTTACTTAAAAAAAAGAAAAACCCCAATGGATGGATGGATGGATAAAATAATAAAAAAGAAAAGAAAAGGTCTAGTCACATTTACCTGCTATATTCTTCTGAATTTAGAATACCCACAAAAGGAATAATCGCCCTGTCATCAGTGTGTATTAGGCAGACAGGAAGAAATTTACACTGGTTTAGAAGGTAGCTTAATCAACATCTCTAAAGTATTCCTAGTTTGGCATTTAAGGAATTTTTTTCTTTCTCATACAAATTTGCAACATGTGAAAGATACACCCCTCCCATTCCTTTTAGGATCCTCTTAGAAAAGTTACCTAGAAACTGCAAGTCAGGAAATGGATTCATTTAAACTTACATGTAAAGTCTTAGGCCCTAAAAACCCCAGCTCAAAAACCACGGCTCTGGAGGATACAGTTCTAATCTACTCTTGCCATCTGTTACAGAGTGGCCCCCAACAAACCAACTCAGGGCTGTTCTTTTCAGACCTTATTGTATCTTTTCAAAAGCTACTTTGTAACTTGAATGTCTTCCCACCTCTACACTGCCACAGAACATTCAAAACTTCTAAGGCCAGGCTTAGAGTCCAAACAATAAGTAGCCAGTAACATTCCGGGCAACAAAGGAGAGAGTTTTATGCAAATAAGTCTGGTACTTATTGCAACTAATGAAAGTATAGAATCAGAAAGTATCTTCTCTCAAAGGGTTCTCCAGATTACTGCAGATTGGCCAAATAAATAGGCGCTGAAATTAAGGAAGAGACTTAGAATATCCAGCATGACTCCATAACGGATGGGTTTCAAATAAAGATTAAAATATTGCCAAAATTCAGAAATGGTATGTAAAGACTGGAGGTGGGATGACGTACTTTTCCAAACAAGTCTCGGTTAAACGCTCCATTTCTATCACAGCACATACCACAGTATGGCAAATACTTGATTAAAAACTCCCCGTTCCGTAAACTCCTGAAAGCATGTTTGTCTTGCTCGCCAATGTACCCTCCCTAGGAACCTTTCCTAGTGGCTTCGCTCATTACCTATTTGTCGATGTTTATAAAAACTGTTTGTAAATGATTAAATGAAGAAATGGCTGGAAAAATGAGTAAATTACATAGGATCACAGCTCCTGCTTGGACTCTAGGGAAATGTTTATGGAAGAAACTCTCAAAGTGGGGTCGAGGAAAAGCAGGCCTTGAGGAGAGCCTGGACTCCAACCCAAGTCAGAATTTAAACCGCAGCGCGGCGGGAAAGAGGACATGCTGGAGCCAAGACCGTGAAGGCTGCGGGGGCTCAGGCTGCCCGAGAAGCCAACTAAGTTCTCCCCGCGTGGCGGCTGACGAGGAAGGCTCGGGAGCCGGCCGGGGAGGAGGCCGCGGCCCCGGCCTCACTGGAGAATGACGAAGTGGCGAACCGGAAGCTGGACTAGGGGGACCGTGCCAAAGGCCGGGACCCAGGCAAGCGGGAGCGGTCGGCCTGGGTCGGAGTCCAGTTCCGCGGCCACACTCACCTAGGGTACCCCTGCTTCACCTCGGCTAGGACCGGCTCCGCGCTGCTACCTCGCTGCGCCTGCTGGACGAGCGGGCAACTTCAGGTGTCCCTAGCAACCACGCTCCGCCACGCGACCCGCGCTCAGCCACCGTAGCCGCCAGCCGTCTGCTGCGCACTGCGCGCGCCCCTAGCGGACAGACTGAAGGACAGGAAGGGATGGGCGGGGGACGGACACGAGGCAGGCGCGCCGAAACCGAGCGCTTTTGCTGCCTAGAGAAGGGGGGGCGGGGTGGAGGTGGGGTGGGGGAGGTTTTTAAAAAGAAGTGCAAGGGATTTGCGCACGCGCAGGCCTGGTGGCACTCTGGAACACTGCGAGCAGAATTCTGGGAGCTGTAGTCCTGCATTTAAAGGCTCCGCTCTGGGACTACAGGACTCAATTCATTCTACTTAACTACTTTGGACTCTCTTTGACCATTCCGCGCCCAGACTCTATTAAAGAATTTAATTAAAATTTCATGAGTTTAAGATAGATAAGAAGAGCTAGTACAAGCCACTTTGACTCCCTCCAACTCACCTTTCTCTAAATTCAACCATGTAGAAGGACTAAGTGGGACCTAACTACAACTACCTGTTCTATGGGATTCCAGTAAGAACTTTAAGAAAGTGTGAGTCCCTTCATTATCTCCCCACACAGAAAAGATCTGCCGCCTGTTTCGATGTCGCTGGACTTATTGAATTTTGAGACCTACAGACACAGTTGGAGGGCAAAAGGATTTTTCTCAGGCAGCAAACTACAGAAATTTAGAGAATAAGAAGACTAACTTGATGAAAACAATTCAGACCACAGCAAGGATGCTCAACAAAATATGTAGGCAATCGTCACTGGTAATATTAAACCATTAAAGGATTACTTAACAATCTTAGATCAGAAAAGCTGTTGTCCAGTTTCTCCGGATGTGATTTGGATTACACAGCAGTACTTTTGAAGTCCAGTGTATTTTATCTACCACCCAAGTACTAACCAGGTCCGACCCTGCTTAGCTTCCAAGATCAGACGAGATCAGGCACATTCAGGGTGGTATGGCCGTAGACAAGTACAGTGTATTTTATAAAATGTTAATTTTTAACAAAATTTTTAAAAATTGAATCTGAATCTAATCAAGCATTGGCTGTAACTTCCAGTATACAGGATATAAAGGAAAACAACTGAATAATGTCAGATAAATACAAAATTTGAGCCAATATGCAGTGTGAATGAACTTTCTTCAACAAAGTGGAAGAGCTGGAGCTAAAGAAAAAAAAACTCATGGTTAAAAGCACACTGCCTTTCCAGAGCACCTGAGTTCCATTCCCAGCACCCATGTTGTATGGTGTACAAGTGCTATGACTCCAACTTCATGGGATATGACTCCCTCCTCTGACGGCTGAGGGCACCTGCAGTCACTTGGACATAACCACCTGTCCCCCCCCACAAACACACACACACACACACACACACAGAGGGGGGGAGGGAGGGGGAAGGGAGGGAGGGAGGAAGGGAAATTTTTTTTTTTCAAGATAGGGTTTCTCTGTAGCTTTGGAGCCTATCCTGAAACTCACAGAGATCCCCATCTCTACATCCTGGAGTCATGGAATTAAAGGTGAGTGCTACCACTACCAGGCTAAATAAATATTTTTTAAGAAAGGAGAGAAGTGTTTTAGATGATAATATGTAAGAGATCGGGTCAGCTAGATGGCTCAGCAGATATAGGTGCTTCCCACAAACCCTGAAGATCTAAGTTCAAGCCTTAGGAATGACATGCTGGAAAGAGAGGACAAACTTCACAAAGTTGTCCTCAGGACTGACACATTTGTAGTAAATTCTTATGAAAGTCACAGAAAACTAAACCAAGTATTTTGGTATTTTGGTGATTTAGGACATAGTCTTGTTTTCTAGGAAGCATAGAAGTTCTGAGGGTATCAATGGCATAATGCTAGAGGTTTGCTGTTGTTTTAAAAGTACTGCAGGAAGGGTAGGGAAGGTGAGTCAGTCAGTAAAGTGTCTGTTGAACAAATATGAAAAACTAAATTCAGGCCAGGCTGTGGTGGTGCACAGCTTTAATCCCAGCACTCGGGAGGCAGAAGCATGTGGATATCTGAGTCCTAGGCCAGCATGGTCTACAGAGTAAATTCCATGACTGTCAAGGCTATACAGAGAGATCCTGTATCACTACCCCCCACAAAAGGAAAAAAGGAAACAAAGTTCATATCCCCCGCACCCACATAAAGAGCTGGGCTCAGTTGTGCAGGCATGTAATTCCAGTGCTTGGAAGGTAGAGACAGGAGGATCCCTTCAACTTGCTGGCCAGTTCATCTAGCTTATTGGTGGCCTCAAAGTTCAGTGACAGGCCACATCTCAAAAATTAAGATTGTGGGTCTGGAGAGATGACTCAGAGGTTAAGAACACTGGCTGCTCTTCCTGAGGTCATTTTTTAAGAGCGGTGGATGTTCTTCTAGAGGTGTTGAGTTCAGTTCCCAGTAACTCTATGGTGGCTCACAACCATCTATAATGAGATCTGGTGCCCTCTTCTGGTGTAAAAAACATTGTGCAGGGTCTTGGTGACACAGGCTTTCAATCCCAGCACTCAGGGGGCAGAAGGCAGGTCGATCTCTGTGAGTTTGAGGCCAGCCTGGTTTACAAAGCGAGTTCCAGGACAGTCAGGGCTGTTACACAGACAAACCCTATCTCAACCCCCTTCAAAAAATTTGAGATTGAGCGTGATTGAGGAAGCCACTCCATACAAACTCCCTCTGTACATAAACATGTACATGCATAAAATGTAAATAACCAAGTAAAATGCTACAAAAAGGTCAAGGGATATAGCTCAGTGGTAGGATGTCCCACGCTACCGTCTCGCCAGCAAGAATGACGCAGGACACTCGGATCCTTCTGCAGTAAAGCTTTAATACATCTTGAGAGATAGATGATCAGCTTCTGAAAGGGAGACCCCAAGCTAAGAAACCCAGCCCCTTATATAAGCCTAGGAGCTCCGAGTGAGACGTGTAGAGCCGGGATTGGTGGTTTGCTCATCACCCCAGATGACGGGTGAGGCACAGCTTAAACGGTAAACTCCAACTGACAGCAGATGTCAGCGCCATCTTCTAGTGGCGATAGCGATAGCGAGGGCGGCTCCTCACAGTAGAATACATAACCTAGAGAGTATGTTCAAGGTTATAGATTCAGTTCCCATCACAAAAACCAAACAGTTGGGCATGGTGGAATACACTTTTAATCCCAGCACTCCAGAGGCAGAGGTAGGTGGTCTCTGTCAGTTCAAGGCCAGCTTGGTGGAAATAGAAAATCCCAGGTCAGCAAGAACTACATAGTAAGACTCTGTCTCAATAAGTAAGCTAATACATAACTAACCAAAGCAATGATAGTAAGAAACCCCCAACACCTACAGAAAACACACCTAAGTAATAAGGAGTACAATTGTCATCCAGCTCCCCTCCTCTCTCCTTGTTTGTTTTGATTTGGTTTGGTCTGGTTTTTGAGACAGGGTTTCTCTGGGTAGCCCTGGATATCCTGGAACTCACTCTGTAGAACAGTCTGGCCTTCAACTCAGAGATTCACCTGCCTCTGTCTCCCAAGAGCTGGTATTAAAGGTGTGGGCTACTACCGCATGCCATCACCACCCAGCCCAGCCAGGTCTTAGTTTCTAATACATTTTTCCATGAAAGGGAACCAAACATCTTTGGGAAAGAAACTGATTCTAGTTTCAAGCAGAAAATAGATGAACCAGGAGTCCCTTGTCAAAAGCTAAGGAAGTCTTGCACACAGCCGCATCCACATACAACCTCCCCCAGTGCTAGGAAAGAAGTGTGTCACTGGAGTTAATTGAAAGAGCTCCCAACAGACAAGGCTGAAACAAATTAAAAGCAAAGTGAAGACATACTTTTTCCTAACCCAAATAGCCATGTGCCCGTCCTTGGAATCATTTGGTACCTTAACTGAAAGGACAAATCTAAAGAGAGGAAATCTAAGTATGTGGACACTCTATCCTGAAAGAGGAGAGTAGTACGCCCTCTCCTTAATTATGGGCTATGCCTATGTGGGAGAAAAAAGAGTTATTTTACAGTGGAGAAATCTTACAAACAGAATAAGATGTGGTGCTGTATGCCTATAATCCCAGTATATGGGAGACTGAGGTGGAAGGACTGTTTAAGGCTAGCCTGGGCTACATGGTGAGTTCCATGTTGGCCGGAGAGCCACATATGAGACCATGTCTTAAAAATAAAATCATCTGCCTCGAAAAAACAAAATAATAATATAATATAATAAATAAATAAAATCATACCAGACATTTCACTGGTTTACCAAGATCAGCATCAAGACATGAATCATGTTCATGAAATGTACTTTGGATATGGTCCGATAAAAATTACACTGTAAATTGGGCATTGTGGGTTTACTGTCATATGACACTGGTTTCTGGTTTGTATATGTGCATATTTATGTGGGCATGAAAGTAAGCATCGGTGACAGAATTAGAAAGGAGGTGTGATGGATCTTGGTTGTCACCTTGACTGGAATCAGGAATCAACTAAAGTTCCTGTGCAGTCCTGTCTCTTGGCCAGACTACTTGAATCACGAAGACCCTCTTGAATGGGGGCAGCTCAGATAAAAAGCCACGAAAGAAGGAAGAGTTTGCCTCCCCCCCTCACTCGTCTTCACTGTTGCTGGAAAATTCATGCATCCTGTCACTACTGCACTCTTTCACTGATATTAAAACCAGCTTCTTGGCTTCAAATGTAGACTGAAGACCTGCAGCTCTCCAGAAATACTCTAGACCTTCAACACCAGATTGGGACTGCTGAGATGTCAGGTATTCTAGTGTGAGGCAGCCGTTGTTAAACTACTCAGACCATATTGTGTAAGCCAATGTAATAAAACCATTTTGATACATACATTCATCTGTCAATTCCGTTCCTTTATAGCATGGGTTCTTTTTTTTTTTTTTTTTTTTTTTTTTTTTTGGTTTTTCGAGACAGGGTTTCTCTGTGGCTTTGGAGGCTGTCCTGGAACTCCCTCTGTAGACCAGGCTGGCCTCGAACTCACAGAGATCTGCCTGCCTCTGCCTCCCGAGTGCTGGGATTAAAGGCGTGTGCCACCAACACCCAGCTATAGCATGGGTTCTTAACCTTCCTAATGCTGCAAACTTTAATTCAGTTCCTCATGTTGTGACTCCAACCATAAAATTATTTTTGTTGCT